GTATAATCATCATTATCATTATCATCATCAGAAAAAAAAAATGTTAATCATAATATACTAGCACGTACACGAACAGGTAAGATTAGATAAGTTGATAAACACCAATGATGATCTTCATCTTAAATCATTGTTTCATCATGAGAAATCTGTATAAAGGAAACGAAACGTGTCATCAACTTTTTTTTTCCTGTCACAAAGTCACTGTCGTCAATGTTAATTTACTTTCTTTTTTTCTTTTCAACAAAAGAAAAATTGAATTTAAATTTTGTTGAAAATTGTTAAACTTTCAACATAATCATCATCCATCGATGATGAAAACAGGAATTTAATTTTTCTTTGTCAAAGTAAATTTTATTCGTACACACACGTATGCGTGACACGGATTTTAAAAAAACATGAAACGAAAACAAACAAAAATTTCTGGTGACATATGATTTTTTTTTTAATATTTGATATACTTTTCAAATGATTCCAATTATCTTAAAACGGAAATAACATCATTATAAACAACAACGAAAAGATACATTGACAATTCACATACGGATCATCATTCAATGATGTTGATAATGATGATTTTCTAAATGTTTTTTCAAATGTCAGTGTCTGTGTATGTCTGTTTGTATTATGAAAATTTATTGAATTGATGATGGTGATGATGAAATACAAAAGAATGAAATTAGTATATATGTGTGTGTGCTTGTGTCTGGATTTCAGTCGATTTAAACATTTTTATTGTCATATTTTTGATGATGATTCGAGACAATTTCATTTTTTTTTTGTTTTCATGTTCAATTATGCTATGATAGAATGAATCATTTCCAGATACCCAGATCGAAAAAAAATCCAAAGAAGAAGAAAAATAATAGTAATTTTTTTGACAAGTTTTCCTTACATAAAGTTATTGATTTTTTCCCCTTTACTCTTTTGATTCAATACAATATAAATGTTGTGAGACATAGATTTTTGTTTTATTAATAATTTTTTGGTCAAAAATTAATCAATAAATCGATATATGATCAAGAAAAATGATGAAATTATTGATGAATGAATGAATTTTGATTGATCATTGTTTTGTTTTCTAATAGTTTTCCATTTGAATTTTTTTGATTGCAAATGATCCATAGATATTATCTATCATAGACACAAAAAAAAAAGAGTTTTTTTCAATCTGATATTTCATCATTATCATTGGAATAAGTAAAAAATTTTGTTATATAACGCAATATGGTAAAATTTTATAAATTCATTATGAAAATCAATGAAAAAAATGAATGATGATGTTAATGATGAAAATGTGTCATTTTGATCTGAATAACAAATCTCAAAAAACAAAAAATTAATAATTTCATCATTGAATTTTAAACTCTTTCTTCATTTCTCTTAAATGATGATTTTTACCTGCATATTACTGATTGACTGACTGACTGAAAAAAATGATTGATCAAATTATATTATGTATTCAGTAAGGTAGAATGTAAAAACTTGTAAATGAAAAACATTAAAAACACGATGAAAAAAATATGGGGCAAAAACAATCGGATATTCTTCCGGCTACTCCCTTTGGTTACCTTTTTTTTGACGGAATTCAGTTTTAAATTATAATTCAAACATCGACAATAACAAATTAATTATAATTTTGTTGTTGTTATTGATTTTCCAAAACAAAATTTGAAAAAAATAAATAGCTACCACTATCTATTCGGTCAAATTATCATCAAATGACCTTTGTTGATATTTCTCTTTTGAAAAAAAAATTTTCGATCCATTTTTACTGTAGAAAATATGTAGAAATTTTGTATACATTTGACATTGTCCTTGACATTTTTTGTTTTGTTTGAAATTCTATTTCGTTAAATATTTTATTCCCACACACACACACACACATTCTCATGATTGCAATCTAATCGATTGATTTTAAATCAATCGATTAGATATTAATTGTTATGTTTTTGTATGATGGTCATTTTATTCATTAGTGAGAAATATTGTTCCATTCCAGATATAATAATATAATAATAATGTTTGAATGAGAAAAAAAGATGTTGTTGTTGTTGTTGTTGTAATTAAATTCCCATCATTAATCATAATCGATTCAATTAATTTGAATCAAATATGAAAACAAAAACAAAAAACAAATATATTTAACACATCATTTTTATCAGTGTTTTTTTGACGAGAATATTTTCGTTAATTTTCTTTGAATTTAAATTTACTGATTGAATGGATCAAAGATTAGATAAAGCAAAAAAAAATAGTGTTTGCGTGTATACCGTGAGATCTTAAATTTTGTTGTTGTTGTTGTTGTTGCTTCACTGTTTTTTTTTTTCAAATGTGCATTCGCAATCAATCAATCAATCAATCAATCAATCAATGTTGTATAAAATGAAGGGCGAAGCAAGGACATTTTTTTCCTTTTTTTTTTGATTTAGTTTTCATCGGGGACACAAGATACGAATTTTTTTTTCTTTCCCTCTATGTTTGTATCAACCGTTGTTGCTGGTTTTCTACTACCATTCACATCGGTATATCTGATATTTCGCCACCATTTTCTCCCCACCATTTTTCTCCCCCACCATTTCTTCAATGAATTCTATAGATTGAATTCCGTATAAATTGTATATGTTGTTTTTAGTTGACCAGAAAATGAAACGGTGTAAATTTTTTTTCACTACAATTTTTTATAATGCTCTTGCGCAAATAAATCATTTTAAATTCCGTTTGTATAATTATTCCGAACAATTGAATGATTTGAATGAACTAGAATTTCATAGGAAACTTGAACATCATTGATAATTTATTGCTTTTTTTTATATTCTGGTATAGAGAATTCAAAGTCACCTACATATACACAGACTCAATCATGACAAATATTCTATATAACAAATAAAACAATTTTTCTTTTATTCATATCATGATATTTGAAATAGAGAAAAAAAAAGGAAAAGAAATCCATTGGATCATGCGACTTTCAACATTTCTTGTTGCCGTTGTTTCTTCATTTTTCCCCTCGTTTGTATTTTATCCCGTTTCGTTGCACTGAAAAAAATCACATGATGATTTTGTTATTTTAGGCAAGGTCATCACTTTTTTTTTGCCATATCCGATTCTTGATGTAAATATTTATTTTCCATCCATTCATTTCTGGATAAGTTATTTTACAATCAGTATACAGGGGGTTTTAATTTTGAAATTTTAAAATCACAATTATTATTGATAATTGAAATTTTTTTGAAAAAAAATCTTAAAATAAATACAGCAATTGTATTGCAATTTTCTTTATATAAAAAAAATGAAAAATTCAAATACATTTATGGATTTACTATGACAGTTTTGGATTGTGATTGTTTATTTTGGAAATTACAAATTCGAAATTTTAGTTCTTTATTATTATTTAAAAACATATAAAAGTATGAAAAACACCCCCCATTTACCACACTCAATCATTCACACACACAAACTAAATTGAGCGAATAATATCAAAAAAAAAAGGTTTGATCATTTGTTTGCCTAAAATACAAAAAATTTCAAAAAAAAATTTCTCAAACGAATTCAGCCGAGAATCAAGAAAATAATGAAAAACAACAAAATCAAACAAAACGAAAATTTACGAAATTCAATTTTTTTGATAGATTTTTTAAAAAAAAATTGGAAAACATTTTTTTTGGGAAAAATTGGATTTTTACATGTGAAAAATTTTGTTTTTTTATATATCAAATTTTAATCGAACACAGAATCAAACACACACACACACACTGATGTATTGGAAGATCAAAAATTTTGAGAATGATGATGATGATGATGATAAATATTGATCAAATCAATCAATATAATTATCAATTTGTTTGGATCATTGAGATTTTTTTTAATTTCCATTCGGAATGATATCATTGTTGAATAATAATAATAGTAATGATGATTATTATTATGAAGATGAAGATGCCAATTTGTTGATGGGTGTGTGTGCCTATTGATGAATTAATTGCTATGTATGTACGATTCACACAAATGTATCACGCCAAATAAAATGAAAGATTTTTTGCATTGAATGATCAATCAAATGAAAAAAAGGGGAAAAAAAGAATTATCTGGATGATAAAGTGGATAACCAAACGCCGACGACAATGAAGATGATGATTTTTGAATAGGGAACAACAATAACAACAAAAAACATTGATTTTTCTTGAATCTTGAATCTCATCCTTTATGTGATTGTTATAAACCTGCATTTATCAAACGGCATTTTGAACAAAATAAATCGCCAAACAAAATCATTCAATGATTTGTACAATAAGACTTCTTAAATAATTCATTATAATTTGTTTTTGTTTTTTTTCGCATTTCAATCATTCTTTGATGATAATAATGAATTGAAATAATAATTATTTATGGACCATTCATCGATGAATGAAAAAAAAAAGATTTTTTTGATTTGAGGCAATATCATTTTATATCTGGATAAAATCCTCGGGTGAAAAAAAACAAAAACATTTGTTGTCATATAATAATAAAATACGTGTATTTGATTGTGAATAAGTAAATATATAAATGAATGTGAAGTAAGAAAAGATGTCTGTGCATGTTTGAGGCATTCGAAAGAAAATGAAATGAAATTGAAACTCCCAAAATTATTGATATATATCCAGAGGCGAATGATAACTTGATGACGATTTATTTTTCTTTTTTGATGATAATGAAATTGGAAGAATGAAAGAAAGAATGGTATCTATGTATAAACATATTATGTATATTTATGAAAGAATTCGTTGCATAATATAAATGTTAATTGATTGTGATTGATGCAAATCGTTGATGATGATGATGATGATGATGATAGTGATGTCGAATGGATAAGGAATTCGATATGATTGTGTCAACATTATTGACTTTGATCAAAATTATCATAGTTTGAATTATAATAATGAATAATAATAATAATTAAAATATGAATTAATGAATTGAGATAGATGAATTTTTTTCATGATTTGAGATTTTCAATGATGATAATGATAATAATTGATAAATTTTATTTTATTTTTTTAGGCTGGTGCCACATATTTATCCTCCGTATCTGATTCGGAAAGATCAGTGATACTTGTAACAACAATACCTCCGATTTCTGTGCTGCCAATCAATTGTAGCTGTCTTTCTTTTAATTCTTCATCAGCAACAACAATTCCATCGTCAAATGTTTTTGCTACAGATTTTGCCGCTTGAAGATATACGGTCAAATGTATGATAACAAATATTGTCAAACAAAGAAGACAACATGCTAAATTGAACCATACTAATATCAATGGATTTGCTTCAATATATTGACCCACTAATGATGGTGATACAGCTGCCGTTAGACCGCCAGCAAATACAAATAACGAACCAATTCGATTAGTCACACGAATTTTTTGCTCTAAGAATGCATAGATAGATGCATAAACTGATGAAAAACCACAACCAAGAATAATATTTCCCACCCATAGCATTGTTTCGGAATTGTTAGCATAAATCGCCAATAAAATTGTACCAAGCAACATAAGAAAATGATTTGTATAAAGAATGGTTTGTGGTTTGAGCTTGATGGCCAATGGAATTGAAACACAACGACCAACAGTGAATGCAAGTGCCGCCGCAGAGCTCATCATTGCAGCCGTTGATGGACTAAGATCTAGTTCAGTATTTACAGCAAATGTTGGCAAAAATTGTAGATGCATTTGTTCCATGCCAACAAAAAACGTTAAAAACAATGAGCCCATACCGACTAACCAAATAGTAATAAATGGTGGCATTCGATCGGTGAAACTACGTTTGCATGGAAATGGTGGCTCAAGACCTATTAAAGAAAACATTTTTGTGAGATTGAAATTATTTTTCTTAATTCATATTAAAACTTACCATTTTCAAGCATGGCAACATCTGATTTATCGGTTTTTATCTCTTGCGATCTTCTAACTTTAGTTGGTGGTTCGTATTTTTTATGATAATAAAGACCTAATACGACCAAAGCACTAAATACAGTGATTGCTCCAGCAATAGCATACGGAATATAGATAAGATAATCTATTGGATCGACAGAATCAATATGACTGAATAGATCATGGATTTTTGTATCGTTTAAATTCAATAACAATTTACGGCTATCATTTATGATTGAATCTTTTGTAGATAAAATTTCTGTTGAAATAAGACTGCCCGGTGTTGTAGATACTGAAGGTGAAGTAGCAGGTGGACCATGACCACCACCACCATGGATTGATTCAGTAGATAAAAATGGTTCACAAATTAATGGAGCTACAAATGAACCAATTCCATATGTAAAATGTAATGCTTGCATAAAAGGTCCACTATATTTTTGAAATAATAATGAAAAAAAGTAAGAAAAATATTTTCAAATATTATTCAATTTATTATACTGACCTTTCTTCAGCCCAAATTTCTAATACCCATACATTAATGGCCGTATCAAATGAACCAATAGAAAAGCCATTGATACCGGCTAATACAAATAGCCATGTTAATCCGGTTACATGTGGCATCAATGCCAAAGTAACACCCATCAATGCCATAAAGAATACAAAAATCAATTGACGATTTATGTATTTGAATAAGAAACCACCTGTCGGTTACGAAAAAAACAAAAATCGATTAAATAAAATATTTGTTTTTTATCTTTTTTTTTAGAAAGAATTAAAGGAAAAAAAACATACTTAATGATCCACATGTATAACCGGCTGAACGTACTGTATAGATAAGACAGATTTGTTCGATGCTTGTCTGAAATAGGCCGGCCAATTCAATCAATGTTGGACCAACCACATAAAAATTGACACCCTTTTGAAGTTTCCAAAAAAAAAAAATAAAACAGAATTTTTAATTTAGCAAAATAGTGGACAATTTTTTTGAAAATATATACACTTACATATGCAAAATAACAGAAAAACAATGAAAATGTAATAATATATTTATCGCTACGTGACATCTTCATTTTGGCGGTTTTTTTTGTTGTTTAAATTTATACAGATCAGATATAGGAAATGAATATGATAGATGCTAAATAAATATAGCTGTCAGTGAATAGTTTGAGTTTTTCTTCAAGAATTTTTTTGTTTTGGCAATTTTTTTTATAAATTCGGAATTAAACTTTAAGATGATGAAAAAGAAAACAGATGCAAAAACAAACAAAACAATTGCAAAAAAAATTAAGATGAAAATTCAATTGAAAAAAAATTTCAAACAAAAAAAATGTTGATTTTCTTCAAAATAAGAAAAAATATTAACAAAAATTAGAAGATGGAAAAAAATTTGCTTCAAGTTTTATCGTCGTAATCACACATTTTTAATCGGTCGACTTTCTTCTTCTTCTTCTTCTACGTCGTTTTCGTTGTCGTAATCTTTGTTTTAATTTTTCTCTCATCAATATCGTTGATATTTTCAATCAATAAGATTTTCCAATCAAGATTTTCATTAAAAAAAATTTCAAATAAGAATTCATTGACATAATAATTCAAACGAATCTGATTGATAACAATTTCTGAAAATTTTCAATCTTTTTTTTCACAATTTTTTTTGCGGCAGCTTTTCAATCATAACAAACAAATAAACACAAGGAAAGAAATGAAATATACAAACAGATACGATTAGTGAATATAAATAAAAGTGGCTAGATCCAATATCATATACATCGCTTTATATATTCGCGCGCACCAACAACAGAACAGAACAGAACGAATGTTGATAATGATGGTGATGATGATGATGATGATGATGAACGAGAAGAAAAAGAAAAAGGATGATATCAACTTATTTCATTTCATTTTTTTTCGGTATATATCGAATGTGTATGGTAGTATAATGGTGGTGGTAATGGCTTCAAGAAGAAGAAGAAGAAATAAAGAAAAAAATCGACCAACAAATTATGAAAACTATACAAACAAAAAAACACACAAAAGTTTCATATATCTGTATGTGTGTGTGTTGATTGATATATATAAATACTTCTTGAATGATTATGCCACCAGCACCACTACAAATAATCATTTTTTTTAATACAACAAAAATCTACTATTTGGATATTACAAGTAACAAAAAGATAGCCCTATTTTTTTTTGATAATGATCATCATTTTCCTTTTCCCTTTTTCAATCATCATTTACCACAAACCATTGAAATTTCAGGCAGGCAGTGAATATTAAAAAAAAACGTACATACAATAAATATATAGAGAATTCAAGAAAATCACTGTGTGTGTGTATGTATGGCAACGACAATGACCAAATAAGAAAAAAAAAGGAAGAGGAGTTTATCAACAACAAAAAAAAATTGAAAATCTTTGCATATATAATACCTATGTACCTTTGTATTTCATTCATTTCCTTTTTATATATAATCTTGATACTCATTATCACTTTGTATTTTTGAAAACAAAATATATAGAAAAGATTATTATATAATAATGATCAATATATATCAATGAGAAATCATCGATTCCATCAATGTTTTGTTTGTTTGTTGTCATACAAAAATGAAACACCAAAAAATTATTGTGGAAATAACAAAGAAACAATAGATGAAATTGTTGGGCAAACAAAAATTTAGATCAAGACATTATCAACATCCAAGAAGAAAAAAACTATTTCAAGGTGTTTAATTACTTTGGAATAAAATAGCAGAAATAGAAAAAGAAAACACTATTATCAATTAATCCATTCTATTGGCCAATGCAATGCAATTGGTTTGAATTTAATATTTATGAAAAAACACATGGATGTTGGAAATTGGATAAAAAAATAGTTTTTGTTTCTTGTTGTTGCAATCAGTATGGCCAATGATTGAATTGAATTTTAGAGAGAGAGGAAAAAAATCAGCCAGTCCTGACCGCTCTGCGCCAGTTTTTGTTGGATACAAACACACACACATTAAAATAAAAAATTTCATAGTAATGGATGCTTTCCAACTGGGATAGTATTTTTTTTTCATACGTTCTTTCTCTGTATGTTTGCATGTTTGCTTGTGTCATCCTAAAACATAAATTATCTTTTCTGGCTCTGTATTTAATAGAAATGATGATGATTTTTTTTTTGTTGTAAAAGATTATAATTTCCAAAATGACCATATAATAAAGTGTATATAACACAAACATGTTCATCTTTATCATTATTATTCCCTGGATGGATTCATGTTTCGGGTGTTTTTTCAACAAAAAACAAAATGTCATCAGTTATTTCATTTTATTTTTTGTATAGATTGATAAGAGAAAAACAAATTTGTTCAAGTAATATTTAATTGAAATTGTGTTGTTATGTTTTAAACAACAAACACACCCAGACAAACATATAAATACGATTGATAATTAAACATTTTTTTTTTGTTTCCCTCTCTCATCCATGATTACCAATTTCATGTGATATGGTCATGTTGTTTTTTTCCCATTTATTTAACAAAATAATAATAATAATCGATTGGTCATTGGATATCAATCAAGATTTTTCTCTGGTTTTTTTTTCGATTGCATTTCATCATCCAAATAATAAAAAACAGCCAAAACAAACAAAATAAAAATGTCAAAAGGAAAAAANAAAAAATCAGCCAGTCCTGACCGCTCTGCGCCAGTTTTTGTTGGATACAAACACACACACACATTAAAATAAAAAATTTCATAGTAATGGATGCTTTCCAACTTGGATAGTATTTTTTTTTCTCTGTATGTTTGTATCTATGTTTGCTTATGTCATCCTAAAACATAAATTATCTTTGCTGGCTTTATATTTTAATAGAAATGATGATGATTTTTTTTTGTTTGCAAAAGATTATAATTTCCAAAATGACCATATAATAAAGTGTATATAACACACACATGTTCATCTTTATCATTATTATTCCCTGGATGGATTCATGTCTTTTTTCGGGTGTTTTTTTCAACAAAAAACAAAAAAAAAACAAAATGTCATCAGTTATTTCATTTCATAGATTGATAAGAGAAAAACAAATTTGTTCAAGTAATATTTAATTGAAATTGTTGTGTTGTTATGTTTAAACAAAATTAAACAACAAACACACCCAGACAAACATGTAAATACGATTGATAATTAAACATTTTTTTTGTTTCCCTCTCTCTCATCCATGATTACCAATTTCATGTGATATGGTCATGTTGTTTTTTTCCCATTTATTTAACAAAATAATAATAATAATCGATTGGTCATTGGATATCAATCAAGATTTTTCTCTGGTTTTTTTTTCGATTGCATTTCATCATCCAAATAATAAAAAACAGCCAAAACAAACAAACAAAATAAAAATGTCAAAAGGAAAAAAAACAGAATATTAAATGTTAATTGTAATGTTTTAAAAAAATCATTCGGATCATCCAATATGAAACCTATTTATTCTAATGATGAAAACAGGATCAATTTATGTGAAATTTCTGGTATGTTTGAGACAAACACTCAACATATTCTACGCATGTTTTTTTTTGATTTATACTTCCGGAATTTTTTTTTCACTTCTTTACTTCCCAACAACATTTCCTTGTTTGATTTTTTTCGAATGAATCTTTTTTTATATTAGCAATATTTTCGTTTCACTATAGATCGACAATTTCAATTTCAAGACATTGAAATATTGATTGGATCCATCAGTGCTAGGGGATCTATCTAGAATGTCTGGAATAAAATGATAAAAAATGCATACATCATTATTGATGAAACAAACCAGGAACTGAACAGGAATTGAAAAAAAAACAATCTTGAAGAATGTCAATTATCATAAATGATGATAATAAAATCATGCGCATTACGAATTTGTTCAAAAAAAAAATCAAACAAACAAACAAAAATCCATTCTATTTTTTTTTCCTCGATGGCTTTTTTTAGCCACATATAACTCCTATAGATACTTCCTTCTTTTTTTTAAAAAAAACATCGGATGATTTTTTTCTTATTGTTGTTGTTGTTGTTGTTGCAACAAATATTCATCTTGATCTTGGCAACTTTCAACTGTTTGTATTGGAAACATTGAATACAAAAAAAAAATGAATAAACATTGAATGTTTCTTGAATGAAAATTCAATCATTTTCAATGCAAAACAAAACAAAAAAAATGAAATCAAACCCAAATTATGTAAATAATAATAATAATTTTGTTAATGATTATTTCATAATCGGTCATTTAAAATTGATTCAAATCTGGATACATTTAAATTGCGCATAAAATACGATTCTTATCTTTTTTTTTGAATTGTTAAATCCATTAACCAAAACAAACAGATTCATTTAGTTTAGGAAAAATAAATGTCATTCACATTTGCTATGCATTAAAAAAAGGAGAGAAAATTATCACTTTGTTTGACAATGGCATGATGGCAATGATGTATATGGTTTGTGTGTGTGTTGAAAAGAAACACACTCACGTGAATCACAAGGGAGAAAAAAAAAGGATAATAATATTTCCGGAGAAGAAAAAATTTGAAATTATCAATAATTTTCCAACCACATGGACATGTACATTTTGATTAGATTTGACTATTTATAATCAAATTTTATTTATTTTTCAGATTTTCTTTTCATCAAAATAAATTTTAGCCTGCCGAATTACGTAGCATCCAAATTTCTAATCATGATAATGTTCATGTGTGTTTTATCATCATTCACTTGATCATCATCATCATCATCATCCATAATATTGATGATTAGATATGTATCAAAAATGAACGAAGCAAAAAATGAAAATTTTCACATGATAAACATCAAATTTGAATTGGTTAGATTTCTAATTTTTTTAAAAAAAGCTATCGATAACGAATTGTGTTTTGTTTTTTACTGTTCCAGAAATTTGTTTCTTTTTATTCGAAAAAAGAAATTGATTGATTTACCTGAAAAAAGCCAAAAAAAAAGAAAAACTTCGATACAAAGAACAAAATCCAACAACAACAACAACAACAACAACAATAATCATTCGATTCAATTCCGCCATGATGTTTTTTTTTCGATTTGAACATGCGCAAATGAAAAATATTTTCGCTGACCATTCGAAAATTCTTTATTGTTCGCAATCAAACAATTTTTGTCTATTTTTTTCCTGTATGTTTAATTTTATGATTTGTAATTCGGTTTGATTCGGTTACAGCCGGTTATTATTATTATTATTATTACTTTACTATGTGGTCTCTATGCTGATTGAACGTCGAGAGAGAGA